CGGTTTCACAAATATTTAATTTTTTTAAATATTCATCTTGACCTCATCGTGACCTCTCCTTAATTCAACCGTAACTTTATATGAAACATATCGAGTTCCTCCGGCAACAAGCGCTCGTGTGGCGTGGTCAGTTAGACTGCTGTATTTCTATACCTAACAGTTCTCTTCATTGCAGGTTCGATTCCCCTTTACGACACAATTTGGATTAAATGTATTAAATGTGTACACTAACTGCAATAATCCTTGTACTAATGACAGGAAAACTATGGAGAAATAAAAGGACGGGATAGTGAAGGAAAAGGAAACGGTAGAGGATATAGTAGGGGAAAAACAGAACGGCAAAAGGACTCACTTTTTTGCCGTTTTATTGCGTGGGGCCCCTTCTTCTTAAACCTGTCCCCCTAAGTTACTGAACCCCCTTTCACATCTCTATCCCCCAAAAATAAATGTCGCCCCTTTTTAAATCTGTCCTGGAGCAAAAATTTCTCCTAAAAAGTGAACTTCGTATATGGAATTCTTTCCCCAGTATGTATTGAAAGCACATGTATAAATGGCCCAGTGTCCTTCAACAACCTGTGGCCTTTGTGCACAATCAAGGAAGTTCACATCCTTTTACTTCAACTGTCAATTTTCCAAGAGTGATTCACATCTTTCAGAAAATGTGACATCAAGATTCCTGTTTTTGTCGATCAATGCCAACGAATTTCCCAACACGGCATTCGTAGGAACAATTTCACACGGCTCTCTGGAAGCAATGTGGGCAGAGAAGTTTATCAACAACAGCATTTGTTTTTTGGTTTGGCTGGCTTATTTGAATCAAGACTGCTGCGACACGCTACTCAACACTGCCCAAATCTTGTGAGGAAATATAAAGGATTGTGGGCAACCCTAACTGAATACTGTGGAATCATTTTTTTGCCTAATTTTCATTTATTGTGTCGTAGAAGTTGATCGTAATGTACTGTTCTTATTGTGCCTCAAAATCTATGCAGTGAAAAATTAATGATTTTGCCCTCAAATCCAACCTCTCAGTTTGTGGATGATGTTAAAATGTTGGTGCCACAACAATAGNCCCCCCAAAATAAATGTCGCCCCGTTTTAAATCTGTCCTGGAGCAAAAATTTCTCCTAAAAAGTGAACTTCGTATACGGAATTCTTTCCCTTCTGGAAACCAAAAGGCACCTCTGTGTGCCTTTTGACCAATTTTGTTTACACGGGGTCTGACGCTATCTGTTTTTCGAATCCAGCCTCTGAAATAAATTACTGCAATATTGGTGATGCAAATTCTACTCTCTCAATTAAATTTTCCTGTGAAAGCACTCATGAGGTATTTATAGCCTTCCAAAACCTTAAAACAGCGGTTTATACTAGCGGTATAAGACCGATCTTTTCTTTTCCTTCATGTTTCTGACCCATCAAAACTAAAGCTGAGCTATGGAATGGAAGCATATCACACTGTGGCTTTCATCTTGGGGTGACAGGAAAATAAGAAGGAAAAGATTGGAGCTGTGTTGCAATTGGTCAAGCTGTCATGCAGCTAGCCCAAATACTTGGACGTCGTCATTGGATGTTGCGACTTACGTCCAGTAAAAAGTCCTCCAACAAAGTGAAATTTTTTCAACTTTTTTTTTTACATTTTTACCTGGCGAAGACAGTAAAATGTCGTTCGCAAGTGCCTTGTAGCCCAAATTTCATAAATGTTGTGTTGAATGACTAAATATGCCCGCAGACAACATATTTTGCAGGAAATTTTGCGAAACTCCACGCGTTCCCTCACAATTTGTGAACGACCTACGTTCGTTTAGAAGTACGCATTTGCATATGCGCGAAATGGCCTCAAAGCTCAGCCCACATTCTGTCAGTTATATTATCTAGAGCTAAGTCTAGGTCTTCACTCCACTGGAAATGCGTGGAGACACGCAGACAACAGACTTAGCCGTAGCTTTGGAAGCCTGTTTCGGACACAGCCTTATCTATGACTTCTTCACGCCCACAGCTCTTCTGCGCACATGCGTAAGGGCATGAAGCGGCGGTCGGTTACTATGCATTTTTGATTGTAGAGTAAGTTGGCACAATCAAAACAGCCAAAATGCGTTTAAATGCAAGTTCGTACATCATGTACATAGCTATCTGGAAAGTTTGTGTAAACCAGTTCTGGACAGCGGTACCTGACGGACCACGACTAACGTTAGACTACGCTATACAGAGAACAGCTACAGGCACGGAAGGCCATGGCCTTGAAAATCATGAAGGCCCTTTACTTAGTACAGACATGGAGGAAGGAGTACAGACTTACAGAACAGGCCTGTGTTTCCCTGGTTACACCAACCGCACCTGTTGATGCTTGAATACTAAAATGACTGGTTCCAATACACAATGGTACAGTACAATACACAATGGCATCAATTTGCAACTTTCTGCGCAAATGATACTCAATATGAAGGAAAACCGTCGACCAGTAAGTCAGCAAGCAGCTGGCTCTGACATTAGTCGGGTTCTTGTCAACGCTTAACATTCTCTAACAAGACGTGACGTCCAGCAGAGAGAGCATACACACGTGAATTTTCAGCGAGTAGTCTGATGTCCCCTTAGTGACCAATCCAAATTACAGATGTGACGTCTAGGAACACGAGAAAGCGTAATTGTATAATCTCTCTCAACTTTTAGCCAATGAGAAATCTTATTACGTCAAAACCCCCTTGCCCTAAGTACACGTACTTTGAAAAACGTGAAGGGTGTAGGGGAAAGTCCATAATCAAAACAGCAAAAAAAAAAAAAAGGAATAAGTTGCAGAAATCGGTGACAACCACGAAGGACATAATAATTATTGTTTTGCAAAGTAACACCTCACCTTTTTTATTCAAGGGAGGGGAAGGAAAGTGGATTAGTTGAGGGGGGGGGTACCTTCAGTACCCGAGGCAGGAACCAGACTATCATCCCGGCTCATTCAGTAGTTCATTGGCAAAGACTTTACACATGTAGAGAGGGAGAATGACGCACGCCATAGTTTCACACAACATTTTATGAAATATGACACAGTAACGAAAAGAAAGTCTGTCACCAAAACGAGACTATTGCTCAATTCAACTACACAGGACAGAGCTGTTTATTTTGTTCCACTCAATAGCCACTGACTATCTAAAACATCCACAAACAAATGGAAATCCATTCAATTTTTTTTAACCAGTCGATAATAATTAATGCCCCAAAATAGTTCTATTTCCAGAGAAATTACATGACATACGTCAGTGTGAAAATTCCTAGGTAAGCACATAATGTATTTTTTCAGCTAAAATAACTTTTACTGCAATGAAACCTAGGGGAGGGGTTTTTCCCTTAACTCATTTTACACCCCAACCTAGTGCCCTATAATATCAAACCTCCAATATTTACCCAACATCAACATTAAGGCAACAATTTTGGCAAGGCATCAAGAAAATTTTTAACATCTACTTTGTTGGTGTGAGTAGATCAGGCAAGTACTTAATTTAAAAAGGCCCATAAAAATTGAACAAGTTATTCACTTCTCTTTGAGAATTGTGTGAAATAAGCTGCTGTCAATTAAAAATATTAAAAGAAAAACCCTGATCAAAACTCTAAGGTGAGAGACAATTTAATGCATTTTTTTAATTTCAAAATCTATTCTATCAAAAATTATACACTTTATATAAAGGCTCTAATTTATGAAAATAAAAATGAAAGCAAAAGGTTGAATCTAATTCTGGGGATACAAAATTTGTGCTTTTAGCTATTATTTGTTTTAGTAATTAAAGCATACTAACCTTTACATTAAAATGTTTACATGGAAATATTTTAACATCTCATTTTAACATGTCAACATTTCTGTCAACAAAAATACTTTAATCACGTGTAAATTGTGTAAAATTGTGTAAAATATTACTTTGTTTCTTCAAAATGAATACATCAGTTTTGCCATGCTTGATATTTTGGAAACTTAGCATGCATGTGCAGACACTCCCTATTATATCAAATGTGAAGTCTGAAGTCAATCAGACAAACAGTTTTGTTTTGTCATTTGAAGGCTACATGTGTGCCACCCCGCATGCAATAAGCACCATAGTGGAAAAAGTATACACTTTTGGCTGACCTGTTTTGGAAAATGGGCTGTGTGCAAGACAGGTATGTTCAATTTTCACAAAATTAGTGTCAAAATGATTTCTCAGAGTTACTCTAAAACTTCTTAAAGAATCAGCAAATAATGAGGGGCAAATTCTGTCCCTCCTGGCTCTTTTAAAAATCAAGTTTATGTATTCCTGTTTGTTTTCTCTCTTAGAACATTTAGTTCTATTTTTAATACTGTGCTCCTGGCTCTTTTAAAAATCAAGTTTATGTATTCCTGTTTGTTTTCTCCCTTAGAACATTTAGTTCTATTTTTAATACTGTGCTATGTCACGATGTGTAATACTGGTCTACTTTTTGTAGAAGATGCCAAGATAGTCTTGTATACATTCACCATATTTTGTATCACTTCAAGACAAAACTTTAGGCTTGCTTTTTCAAAGTAACTATTGAACTTAACGTCTTCAAATCTTCATCCAGTGACACTCTAATCATGAATGTAAGTAAAAACCACATCTTCAATCCGCTCCTGACACTGTACTTCATAACCTGTTCTTTGCAGAGCTACACAACTCACAAAGTGACATACCCACAACACACTTTTACAATCTCTGATACTAACTACCCATCACCACACAAACTTTCAAGAAGTACATGTATTACTTTTCACTATCATTGCACTAGAGATAAAAACTTTTCAAACAGATTAGCAATAGCAGCTACAATTGAAGTTTTGAAGAACAAAGAGTTCAAACTACATCGGTATATTTTCGGTATATTTTCAAATCAAACGGCTTTCTTGGTAACAGTCACTGACGGAAATGTATCATTTCACCTCACCATGTTCACTACGTAGCAAACCTTTTAATGCAATCACTAAAAAGGGCTAATCATCTCAATTGAATGTCAACATTTTTCATACAAAGCTAACACGCAAGGTCTTTTAAAAAATATGCATTGAAAGAGGCTAACATTTTACATATGTTCTATGCCACAGCAGTATGAATTCATTGATCCCCTCCACTCATTTCAAAAAACACCCATGTCAAAGAAAAAAATGCCCAATTAAGCTTTATAGTTGTAGTGGATTGAAAGTCATGACCTAAACCGTAGAGAATGCTTAAGTAGAATTTACAATTGTGAACAGATTTAAAGGTGCATATGTAAAGAAATATGTAAACGCACTTGGGAACTACATAAATAAGATGTCTCTTTCTTTGGGCGTGTGCAGCCAAGCTGCGCGTGATGCGACTGTGCACATTTAAGAGCAATAGAAAATAATATCGATTGTGGGTTCTATCGAATTAAGAAGTGGGGAGATGTTCTGAAAACGGAATGTTTTGGGGGAGATGGAGAATGGATGGGGAGAGTAAGCATCATAAGAAAAACGAGTGTATTTGCAAGGCACAGATGAAGAATTAAATGGGCTGATTCAGCCTTATCTGTGACCCAAGACGGTGTTGTCGTACTAGTCTTGCGTATTTAATCTCGTAGTACTGTCAGCCCACCTCACCTCCTCACGGAGATTTAAAGTCGATGTATGACGAAATTGAAAAGCTGTTGTATCCTTTGCACTACGGATCGACGACACTTCATAGTGACATATTTTGGGAGGTTACATCAACTAGCAGAATTGATGAGTCTTTTTCTCAAGTCTTGAGTTTACTGACATATCAGATGGTACAACAAGAATTCACCTTAAGTACTAAACCTGTACTGACTGAGTATTTTGGATGAGTAAGTGCATGATGAGTTTTGGGTGGATTGTATGCAGGATATATTCAGTATCAACACAAGAACTCAAACCTTATCCATGACTTCTTGGAGAAACAAATCCTGTAACATTTCAGTAGTCATTCTTGTCAAGGCATTAAGCTAACTCCCTGAGATAAAATGTAAACTTGTATATGTACCAGTTTCAAAGGCTCAATTTCTACTCAGAGAAGAACTCAACTACAGTACTGCTTTGCTGAAATATACTGCTTCTCGGAAGTATTTTGCTAATCTGTGCATCAAAACTCCATTTCATCAAACTTAATTTTGTCCCAAGTACTGTGCCACATGTAGCCTTCACAACAGCTAGTAAAGAGCATTTGCGACCAGATCCCACAAAATGGGTCTTAAGGCCATTTCTTTTTTTTTTAAGTAAACTTGATTTCGTTTACATTGGAAAGAACAAACTCGTCTCCTCATTTTGACAAATCACTTGGTGTATATGGTATCCTGACAAAAATCAGGATACAATTATCTGGGTGGAAAATGTTCAAGGTTGCAACTTATTTGGACTGTGCAAGATTCCTTTATGGGCCTCTTGCTAAGAGAAGCTCTGGGGACCTCTGACATATTTTGTCAGGCTGGGACGCATTCTTATAATTAACTACTTTCAATTGGGTGCTAAGGCAAGGGATAGGAGCAGGAGAAGGGTGGGGGTAGGAAGGAGCGGGGATCAATAATCCATAGAGACGTGAATACTTCTACAGCTGCCTAGTAACCTTGCTTTTACTATTCCTTGGGGAGGTTGTTCTGGGGCTCTTCTGCCAACACTCCCCTAGGTCACTCTTTACTGCTCGATGCTGCATCTGTTGAATCTGGAGGGATGATGTCCACCGCATAGAACACCTTCTTGCTCTTGACCCAGCTGAAGCTGTTGTCAAAGACAGCCACATCTGAGAAACAAAATCAAACAAGTCACTCAGACCAAGATGCTATCAAAGCTTCACTCGCCTTATTAAACCTTTACGGGGAACGTAAAACACCAGATTTGCCTTTGTGCATATTTTCTATACAAGGTAAAAGTGATCACTTTTTGAACAAAGCAAGAATAGCCTTTGGAAAGGACCTTTGGTGTACCCAGAATTGTGATGACTCAATTCAATAACTCAAGTTTGAGTCATAATTTTTGGCAGCTTGACTTGAGTTCCCACAGGTAACTGACTCAACAAGACTCAATACACTGCAAGCAAGCAACTCGACTCAAGTTAGAAAATAAGTGATTCATTTCCAAAATGCTAAATGTACAAGTCTCACTACATGTGAACAAGTCTGAATGAAACTATCATGCATAACCGTTGAATCCCATACTTGTCTCTTTCTCTCCTAATTTATTCAATTTAACACATGGCATTCAAGTATTAACGTCTCAAATTGCCACCAGCATAAATCTGACTTGACCCAAACTCCCTGTAACTGAATTTGACTCACTTCATGGCCTGATGCCTCAACTTGAGTAACAAATGTCTGTGATTCATTACAACACTTGCTGTACCCAGGAGCATAAGGGGCACTCCAAATGTACTCACAGGTTCCAACTTGAGCGCATTCCACCAACCCGCTTTCGGGGACCAGATGAGAGGTGAACCGGGTGCTTGGCAGAATTTCCACCAACCGAGTGGAACCATCCGAAGTTGTTTCTTTGCGATAGACCCCAAAGGCGATGTCATCCTTGTCAGTGTGGAACTCCCACCTGAATGGAGGGCGGAAAACAAGACAGTTCAATGACAACAATCTTGGAGCAAGCTTGATCAAAAACTATGGTTATTAATTCAACAAACTCTGAATGAATACACACCAGTCAACAATGGTTGGAGTGGCCTCGTCAAGCCTTGACCTTAAACTTTTTTAACTAGCCTACTGGTCAATTCAACCTATCTTCTTTTCACTTGCCCACAGAAATTTTCACTAGCCCACTGAACATTCTTTAAGCAAAGATAACTTTTTTTCAACTGTGAAGTCTTGCCATCAATTTTACAACTTTAATAAAAATGGAGTATTCAAACCTGCTGCAATTTACAACAGCAACGTACAATCGATTTAACATTTTTTTCATCTCCACAATTATGACAAATGACAGTTCTTATGTGTAGGCTTTTCTTTACTAGCCTGCCAGGCAAGTTTAAGTAAGTGCAGCAGTTTTGACTAGAATTTGTATGCTAGTTTAATGCTAAGGTTGAAGCTTAAGTCTAGTCGACTGCTCTGCTGGACCAGTCTCATAATGTATACTGCACTGCTCATTATAAAAAGCAATACTGCTCCAAAGTTCCAGTGACATTTCATTTGGGACTGATTTTCTGATTTCCTTTTCAAAATGCACCCACATGTAGTCAGGTATGTGAGTGAAGGTAATAATGATTTACTAGAACTTATCGACTTTGAAAAATTTTTCCAGTGTTTATGTGGGATTTTCTGAGATTTGTTTAATTGTGCCAAGTTAGGGAAAAAAGTTTCCGGGTGTCACTGTTTTTGAATTTTGACTAAATTTCATGTCACTGGAACTGTTCGCAAAGGTTCAACAGCATGCATTATAAAGTTAATAGTACCAGTTTTTAACTGGGGGAATTTGAAAAGTTTATTCAAAGAGGTTTGGCCCCAGTGGTGTAGCTAGGATTTTAGGGGGGGCACCAGCTTTCAGTGCTGTGGTTTTCTGGGGGTAAGTTTATGTTAGCCTTGTTCAATATCCCTTCATCCATTTTTTTTAGGGGGGGCACATGCCCCTCCAGGCCCCCCGTGGCTACGCCACTGATTGGCCCCACTGCACAAGGAATGTCAAGGGTAATGTCAAAGAGCGCCAATTCAGGGGAAACAACTGTATCCTACAGCCAACAGCACTTGCTCTTAGCAATTGACGGTGGGGAAAGATTTTGAGTGAACTGTACCGAAGGGCAGAGGAGGGCACCGTTACTTCCAGAGGAATCTGCAGCTTAGCACCACTAGCAACGGTTTCTTTCTTCAGGTGAATGGAGCTGGCCAACTGTAGCTCCTTGAGGTAGTAGGACTTGGGCACTTTACCTCCGTACTTGATCTGCATAAGACAGCGGTGTGTATTTAAGGCCAGTATGGGAACCGGACACCCTAAACCATGGGTACTTATGTGCCCCTTAAAAAATTGTCCTAAATTAAAAGAAAAGGTTTGAGTTTTGCTTCGCAAAAAACCTTGTATTATTTGTTAAATACCTCTGCCATTGGGAAAATGTCACGATGAATTTTATTAAAATTCACAGGACATGAAAGTTTTGAATTGAAAAAAAAATATACCTACCATAAACTCTTTTCTTCTGTTTTTTTCATTCTACAATTTACTAATCATGTATGTTACCAAACCTTACAGAAGGAGTTGCAAGTACCCAGGGCCATTGTTTGACTTATGGTTAAGGCCCTGCACTAAAGTTCATATAGGCGCCCTCAACTGTTTTTATGCGGCCTAATGTCCATTTTCATCAGCATGCCAAAACTGAGTGAAACATCAGAACCAAGAGCTTAGTTTATTCTTGCTCATGTAAATTGAAACAAAATTTTGGGGGAAAAAATGGCCAAGACACTCATTTTGTGGGATCTGTTTGGATCCCACAAAATGAGTGTCTCGGCCATTTCTCCCTAGAAAAATTGTTTTCATTTTCAGTCTGCTGCGAACTTTTGTTTTTGAGAATTACTAATTTCTGCAAGGTTTGTACGGCTTTGTACATGAGAAATATATATTGCAAATTGACTAAAAGGCCAACCATTTAAGAGCCTTCTCTGGTCACAGTTATTCCTTTAGTGAATTCAATGATGCAGAAGCAAGCAGTAGTTTCATAACCGACCACAGCTTTTCTTTGCATAAAGGCATTTCCATGTGAGGAGAAACGTAATATTAATGCAAATTGTTTGCCTTTACAACTTGCTAAATCTTGAAAACATTACATCACAGACTCATTTTTTTCCATTTACACAACTACGCCCAAATCTCCCTAAATCTTATGTTATCTGTCATCCAAGGTCTCTTCAATAGTGACTCGGGTAAAATACTGGCATTTCATTTTTTCCCTCCCTCGCAGAAAAATTAATTTACATGTACCTTGTCACTACACTTTGGGTCGCCGTTATCTACCATTGTGCCGCCGTAATGTTTGGGTAGCTGGTCTGGACTGATAACCTCCAGTAATTTACTTCTGTAGTTACCTGGGAGGAGAACACCATTACAAACTTTGTATAATGTTGCATAAAGGGATTTGACAAGCAGATAGCAATACTTAATTCAGGTCCCTGTACCAGGGTGAAAACGTGGCTCTATAATCTATTTATGGTAACTCAGTTGCAGGCCCCATTCAAACTGCACGGTGGCCATGGGAGAGCATTGCTGCGATGCCCCCATGCACTGGCTGCAGTGCCTTCCATGGCAAACCCTATTTCAAGTTGGCAGCCATGCCAATACTTACAGTGGAATCTGCCTTACGAATCCTATGTTACCAATACTGTAGTTGCTGTGAAAGTTTTGACCCCCTAAAAAGGTAAAGCCAAGGTCAGTAAATTGTTGTTGAACAAATTCATTTAAAAAGGCCTAAGATTGTAAGATTATTAGCCTGTAAGCTTGCGGGCCAAACAATGTCTTTACATGCATGCCAAATTTCAAAAATATTGGCAATGAGACAGTTGAGAATTTTAGGGGCAGAAATGTCACAAAAATCTTGCCCATCACAAGCCAGTGTTTGTAAAGTCCTACTCTGTGAAGAACTGTGGCTGTGGAATGTTGTGCCATTTTTTCATTCTGGGCCAAAAATACCATCAATTTTTATGCCGAAAACAATATTTGTGTCTGGGTCACAATAATACTGGTGCTAACTGATTTAAGGCAAGGTTACTGATATGAAGCAGATACTAGACCCAATCATTATGGTTTTATCTAGAACTGGGAAATCTTGTTCTAACAATAAGTATGGTCCTGGAGTCAATGAAGACAAAGTTTAACCTTTGGATTAGAGAGACTGTAGATAAGTCAGAGCTACAACTCACCCCCAAAGAATTTGACCTTTGTCCTCGTGTCCGAGCTGAGGAAGGGCTTGAAGAGATTGTAGCCCACTGACACCATGGAAGGTGCTAAAATGGAACAAAACCGTTTACTGTTAAGGAAATGTGGTCGTTATGAGGCACTATGGACTCTTTGATTTTTCAGAAAAGGCCCCACGTAACCTGTACAGACCAAATCATGCTTTGCATGCCCTAATATTCTCCATTAATAGAGAATTTAGGTCCACAAAATGTTTAGGGTTTAAATGAAAACAGGGCAGAGGGTTGCAACAGGACTGTTTGTGTTACTGTGGACACTTTGATAAACATTGGGCCCTCTGAATTGCTCCAGTTTGCAACAGAGTGTAGGTATCATTTTCCAAAATGGTATGAGGTGTCAAGAACACTCTTAGGGGTGACGACCCTTCAAAAGTCATTGGTTTACCCTGCAAAGAAATAATCAGGGAACGAAAGATGATGAAATTAGCTCTTATCTTATGGTTATCTGAAACAACTTATAGAGTTGAGTTTCTTTCCCACATAATTGAAGTGAGGGTGTTTATCACTGTTGTCTGCAGCCATTTTTTTAATGGCCTTCCATTTTAGCCAATGAGTACCTGTTTCTGCACAGAACACAGTGGCCTGAAGATTTCGCTTTATGTAAATGCGTCTGATCTTCATATCAGTTAGTCAGACAAATGGCGAAAGTCCTTGTCAGTTGACAAGATTTGAAAGCCAAATTTACCATTGATGACGAAACACTGGTACAGGGTCTCGGGGTAGTTTGCTTCAAACTTGCTAAGCACATCAAAGTAGACATTCAGGAACGGCATCCAAAGATGACTGAGGCCCACCTGGTCAAGATCCAGGATCATGGTCAGGTTATCGATTCTCCGGCCATGCTGTGGAAGAGATTATGCGTAGTGTATAGGTCCACTGGCCTGTGTAGGCCCCTGGACCTACACAGGCCCAAGGACCTACAGAAACATGATAGGCCTGTGGACCCACTGAGGCCTATGGATCAACAAGGGCCCATGGATCTACAAAAGCCTGTAGGTCTACACAGGCCTATGGATCTACTAGGTCCATGGATCTATAAACAAGGATGCATTTTAGATCAATTGGAAAAATGCAGTGCTGATATCCGCGACCAAGTTTCTCTACAGCAGTTGCACACCTCAAAATGGCAACAAATTTGTGGCAGTTATTGGACATAGAGTGTACTTAAAAGAAGTTCACCTTTGTCTAAATGTACCTCATTTTTTTTTTTTTGCAGATTTAAGGGAGAGCAAAAAATCAGAAAATTCTTTTCAAAACAAGGCACACAATTCCCCAATGGAAACAAATACTGCTCCCAAGTGCCAAGCTGTTCCGAATGGGTCTTCCATGGTCCCAATCAGGATAGGCATTTTAATTGGAGAAACACTTGTGATTTGAGATGCTCAAAACCATTTGGATTCCAAGTCTCCCTACACTGATAAGCACCTTTTTGGTTTGTTCCTCGAACCTCTGATAGATGGCTTCGCATATCCTCAGCTTGTACCGGACAAAGTCGTCCTTGGTGCTGGAGTAGATGATACCTTTGCAGTCCACGCTGCCGTAGGCTTCGTAGTAGATTGGCCGTCCCTCCTTGTCCTCCCCAAACAGCCCACCAATCATGTGCTTCTCCAGGACCTGTCTCAGAGAGAGTCAGGAGGTTTGTTGGCCAGCCGTTCTGGAGAGGTTACTCTTACTTATCTAGTACCCCTGTTCTGGGGTGTAAATGATATCACCGTTCAAGATAAAACATCATAAGCGTCAAGATGTTCTCCTGTGAAGTCATTTATATATAGAAGCAATCATTGCAGGGGCACAATGCTAATGTGCAAGTGGTATGCGTGTTGAATACCTCTTCAACCAAAAGGACACTGTGACTTGCCAAAATCTACGCATGGTCAAGTTTACAACTGGCACACAAAGTGTGGGGCCACCAAAGTTTATGCTGTTTCCCCGGATTAGCCTGTGCATGAGTCCATTTTCTGTATTCTGGACAGACTTCAGGACTGCACTTATGTACATTTATGACTTAAAATTCCAGTAAAATGCGGTCAAAATTATGAACCAGCTACCAGGGTTCAGTTATTACAATGCTTAGCGACTGGTAGATCAAGACAACATGCATGAGGCTTTAGCATCTTTGGAGTGCAAACAAACAGTAATGAAAGGGCAGGACAGTCCCAGCACCTAGACGTTTATCTCTAGTGGTTTGTGAACTTTAAAAGCTGAGCAACTTGTTTCATTCATCCATTTTTTCGCTCGTGGAGTTATAATGAGTGACAACATTGAATCTTAATGTGTGACAAAATTGGATGGGTCGTTTTGGTCCGGCAAACTCAGGACTGCACGACTCTTACCTCAGGTGCTTTCCATTCTGCTACGATGTATTCAATGTTCCACTCTTTACAGAAGGAAATATGCTGCAGAATCAACATGTTTTAAAACATTTGATCACAACTGATCTTTCTCATAAAATGAAATAAAAACAAGACAAGTTGATCTCTTTGAAACCTTAACAAAGTCAAGACTACAAGCCAATAAGTTCACCAGCCGTTCATCACATGTTAAAAACAGTGCAAATCATTTCATTTGGCACACTATAAATACAAGAAAATGAAGAAGAAAGACTTGTCACATAAAATATAGATTTTTGAGGGGATGGGAGGTTTGGAGAAGCTGGACACTGTGTGAAAACACAGGCTGCTCCTCATTGGAGTTAGTCTTAACACTTGATATGCAAGTCTGTTGCAGTTGGTATCTACTCTTATACTAACACAAACTGTATTGACTTGGAATTAGTGCCTTCAACTTGTCAATCAACAAAAGCACACTAACTTCCAGTATTCACTGCTTTCCATTTTATCTTCTCAATCTATTTTCAATTTTGAACACTGACACTCTTCCAACCATGGAGGACACAAATTTAATACAAATAATGACTTCTCCCTTTTGTTGCACACAGTAGCAAATTCAAAACAATAAAGCTCGCTGAAAATGGTCACTTTGTGTCTGGTATTTTGTTTAATATCTCAGTACAAAGCTATATCTATTTAGATTTGCCTATTACATGTAATTTGCCTTTTCTTGCATGTGTGTTTTTGCCTCATGAAACTTTTGATGAGCAATTATATGAGCTTGTAATCAAAACTTACATTTCGTAGCATCTTTTCTGCTTTGTCCAGGTCAAATGATCTTGCTGGGTTTTTTTCAAATGGAAGAAACAAGGAAAGTAAAAAAGTAAATTATAAATACACAAACTGCAACAATGCACAACAGAAATGTACAGACCGTGTTTGACTGACTAGAATTACTTCTTCACTTCACTTCATGAAATGTACAGAGCCAGAAATCCCATAATTAAGCTGGTAGTGTCGTGCAAAGACTTACATTTTCCAACAAGCGAAGTGCAAATTGGCATTTGTAGCCTCAGGGTATTTTTTCAAAGCAATGATAATATATCAACAATAACATGCAACAACTTGCATTCAACAAATGGAAAACTTCCTTTCATCAATGAAGTTCTTATTCTTTTTGGCTGGTACAGAACGCTCGTGACAATAATACCAGGATCCATCATAAAGCCTGTTGATTTACAGGCCAATAACATGAACTGTCTGATTACTGCACAAGCTGAAGCCATCACTACATAAATTGCAGCCTGGCTCTTTGACTTGCTTGAAAAATTGATGTTTTTGCTTTTACCTCGAAGCCATCGTAAAAGGTTGTGATCATCATGCTCTGCCGTCAATATATCTGAGATTCTTTCACGGAACTGGGAAAAGAATTCACGAAGAATGATGCAAAGTTTGATGTCTATGGTTAAATACAATAAATGGTCCACTCAAGGCACAAATACATGTACAAGGACTTTATTCCAAACATAAGTTGTGCAAACACACTATGGCAATTTGCCAGATTCTGGGTTTTTTAAGTATAAATAATATGCTAACTCAATGTTTGAGACTTGCCTTAAAGTACTTAAACACAACACACACTGCTTTATCAAATTACTGCACAGAAAGATGTTTTATCACAGTAGCAAACAAGAGTGAGTTCACCTCATCATGAGTCACACACACTCGATATATGAGTTTCAGCAGGTTGTAGAGGTCAAAAGACTTCCAAGTTATTGATGAGTCCAACTACTGCAGTCGAGTTTAAGTCATCCAAGGTACATGGATACGTCAGGCAAAATGGATCCACCATGTATGTACATGTATCATGTACGTCAGAGTCATGAATCATACAGACTTTAATCTATTTATTTACTGCAGCAGGTTCCGAAAAGTTTATCCAATTTTTCTTCTGGACAGGTAAGGACACTGAGGAAATTCACACTAACGAGCATTGCCTGATTTTTGTCTGACTTACGCAGTGAGTAGTAAATGTCAGTCTAAATGTGCATGTTGTACTGAATTCCCTATGGGGCAAGCTTCAGCTCATGTTAAATTATTCTCCAAATGGAGTTAATTAGGACATGTTGGAGGATCTGAGCCCCCTTCATGTAAAAGCTTGTTTACAATTTGAATTGAGTCTTGACCAAGTCCAAATTTGAGTCTTAAGATCTGTTACTGTCATAAGAATTGCATCACTTACCAGCTTCAATTTCTCTGCCTGTTTTGGGCTGAGGTCCCCAACACGTCCACTCATTTTCTCAGTTCTGTATAATCCGCTCACTGACAAGAAACGAAAATATAAATATGATATATATTTATATATAAAGTCCTGGAATGAGTTTCTATACTGTTGGGAAAAAAAGGAACAGAGAAACATAAATGATTAGTCAGCTGAAATATGAAACCAGTAGACTCTTATAACATATAATCCAACTTACACACCTGTTCACATCAGTGTCTCAATTGTCATAACAAAGTTATTCATCATATGCGGCACACATGCAGTAACATTTTCTGGGTTTGTGATGAAACATTACAACTCCACCAAGAGCGATGTAATTTTATGTTTGGTTATGAAACACAGTGCACGTGGAGACACTTCATCACTTCATGTCCATGCATATGACAGAGGTGGATTCTTGTGCAAACTTCTTGTGTGTACATGAAAGACGATTCAATTTTATAACTGCTGTAGGAAACCGTTGTAGAATTTTACAAACGTCGCGTCAGCAATGCTATCTGCAATTCCAAATTATTCTGATGTGACTGTACAAAATTCAATTAAAAAATAAGGCCTAAAATTTTTTTTTAAAAGGCTGGGGTGGAAGGGGGAGGCAAAACCAATTACAAGACAAAACCAAAAGAGTGGATCGGTATACCGGTATGTTTAAGGCAGTCTGACAGAAAACTGTACCAGGTACGTCAAGTGAGAAAATGCAATCACAATGCTAAGAAAACAATGATTCAGAAAATCATGGCCATTTGGGAAATAAGAAAGAGACATCCTTTTAAAAGTATCAGTGTAGAGTTGATCATTTTCAGTATAAATCCCAAAGACCAACCAATCAAACTGTTGATAGAAAGCATGCTCAAGTGGCTTAATTTAAGAAAGAAATCAATGACTTTTGAAACTCCTTGCAAATTAAGTTATTCCTTCGGGCATGCTTTACACTTTGGAGAAACTGGGAAATGCATGTCATTTTAAGAGATTTTACAAGAAGACAGTCCCCCGTAAGTTCTAACCTGTAATTAGGCGAATTAACCAATCGGTGTAACAAGGTCCCCGGACAAAATCATGTGTGGTATTTTGAGAATCATGTCACAAGATCGACATACTTGAGAACATGGGAGATGTTCTCAAAATACACATACTTACAGCATTATCAAACATCAATGAGTGTGTTTATAGCAGCCTTCTAGAGCATTTCAGCTAACGTTGCTGACAACAAGAAATGCACAAATGATAAATCCTGAACTCTACTCAGCTCTCTCCATTACCTCATAGAAAAATCACTTACAGTACGCAGGCCTGGATTGAAATGAACAATGATTAACAAAGCTTGAAAGCTGCAGCAATGTGCCGTGAAGGCAGCGCATGGTGTTCAAAATAGATCCTGTCATTGCATATATAAAAGACTGAAGGTCAATCAGTCTTACCAGACAGAACAATGGACACAAGGGCTATTGACACTAGAATGAATACTGAGGTGCATGTATGAGGAGAGTAAACAGAAGTATAGCACCAATCCCAGTCACAGTAGTTTATACAGTTCAGCATACCCCATTACTAAATTGTGATAAAGAAATTTCTCAGTGTTCTTCAGTTTTCTTGTGGCTCATGCCCAGCAGAATGTATCAAAAACAAGCCAAGTTACCATCCTTGGTACAAACAAAAACTAGGCTCTGCCATCAGCACAATATTGCCAATCTTGACAACTTGGCAGATCACAGGGGCCAGCCCAAATGCAGTGGTTGGAATCATCAAAAATATAGACACCGTTAGTTATTTTTAGAACTGTAAGGTTTTGAAAATACACATATATGTAAACCTTACAGTTCTTGAAGTACCAGCAATCGAGTCCAAAGGGGGATCGAGGGGGGTAACATCATAGATACATGGACATGAGAACATTAGGACCTAGTTTAATTTGAAGTTGAACTGACAGTGCAAATTTGTATTTTATAAAAAATCCCAAACCATTTCATTAATATTGGCCAACTTCAACCAACTAGGAAATACAGACGAGATCTAGAACTCTTTATTGGAATAAGTGGAGATTTGAGTGCTCACCACAAATCCATTACTGAGACAGAATGGGTGCTCAGTCCAGAGTTTATAAGGTTACTGCAGAGAGCTGTAGAGAACATTGCTTTGCAGTGGCTGATGAGTGTGTTGGGTGGCTGAGAGTCTTACAAGGGTAAACAGGCAACTGAAATGTGCACGAATGAGGATTGCCTGAAGGAAGTTACATGTACATAACGGGAGCTGCTTCCTACATGTACATACTCTACACAGGAAAATGAGCCAATGACATTAATTAAAAGAAACAAGTTTGGAATTATAGGGTCTACAGATGCAATGTAATTTCTCTCAATCAAAAACTCTTGACAATGCACCTACACATCTCATTTACCTACCGGTATAGAAGCTGATTATAGGCTTGCTGTTTCACAAGGAATTTGGATATCTTTTCGGTTTTCCCACAAACTTACACATTTATATCATCCCTGAGAAAAACAACAAAATTACACTGATTTTCCAACACACAATGAACTAAAGACTGATATTTTGCTGAGATGAATTTCCTTTTCTTTAGTGATAAATTGTTGTTCAAGTGCATGATACTCAACAATCCAGCAACTGTTTCTCAGAATTGTTTTCAATTAGCAAATATGGTTTCACAAATTGAACATTAAACAGCCTATAAAATAAACAGTGTCTGCCCTGAGTTGCACCACAGCAACGGCAACCTCAGTTCTCTGGAACTGCATGGACAATTGTTCAGTATTTACAAACAGTTTTTCAGCATCAAAAAAACGTTTTTCAATCCTCAAAAGCCAAAAGGCATGTAGTTTCATACATGTTTACTGCGTAGAAGAGGGGACAAATGCACAAAAGCCTGTGTTATAAAAATCTATGGATCGTTTGAAGTATACCTTTATTACAACTGTGACCCGTATGGATGACCATCTGTGTGCCCAAATTAAGATGCACCCTGTACATGCACAAGTTTTTTTCCTTCTTTTTTGGGGGTCTTTCTGTTGTGTAACAATATCTTTTATTTTTTTAAATCACGTCCTTCATTTATGCAATTATTTCCCTTTTCAGATTTGGCACGGATGACTTTTTAAGGGAACTAAGTAAAGTCCAAATTTCACAAGGTCCGAATCTCATCTCATGAAGTGACTTGGACCCTGGAACCATACAAAGATAAGAGCAAAGATTGCAAAGTCTTAAAATTTAAAAACATTAACTCCACATTATCAGTTCCAATCCAATATAACAAAGAAAGACCATGGACTGGTTCCCAATTCAATATCCACTGACTTAAATTTTAAACAAAATTCACATGGGCCTACTGTACACATGTACAATTTGGAATTTCTTCCACATAAATGGCACATATCGTAACATTTGAGACACCTTTGCTATGACACTAGACAGCTCAACCCTCAAATGATCTTGTTAGGCGTAATCAGTCAATCTACGGGATCAATCCTTAGTCTCTGTCGATAACTTCACTTTCTGAAAATTGCATTTTCATTGATCATTCCAATTCAGTGCACAGATGCAGAAGATTGTTTCTAAAAGTTAGAGATTTCGTACAGGAACAGGATTAAACACAGACTGACTGAAACTAGCGTATGATCTCGCGCTGATTAACCGATCGCACCCAACATTAGGCAAATTCAACCCTTTTCGACTGCATTTTAAAGATTTATGCATATGATAAGAATTATTTCACACTCCTTCCTTTTTTCCTCCATAAAATAAACAAAAAAAAACTTTAAAATGTTAAACATTTGTAAGAAGTTTTAAAATTAAGTAAAACTACGCTTTCGGGAGATCAAAACCTTACCTCAGTAAGAATCCATCCGATTTTCAATGAATAAAACGCTATCACAAATCCTCATTCCAAAGTCTAAAATTCATAATTACAAAACAGCCGGCCACAGTTTAGTACATGTACTAATGCACCTCCGTCTTGCATGCTGTACACTGGTGGTACAGTGCCCTCTCTAGTCAAGACAGAGTAAACCTATGTTAAGATTTTATCCGGGCTCTACTAAAATCACTGTATGATAGATAACAGCTCAGCTGGTGCGAGGGAGCTAGAGTGCCCAATACTGACAGGCCACTGCTCGGACTAAACCCTTCCGTGCAAAGTGCAGTCTCATTTAGATAAACCTCTTCGGTACGTGCCTCCCATTATTTTGTGTGAAAACTAAACGCTTGGAGGGGCGGGAAGATTTCACAAAGGGAGGAAGGAGAAACAAAGGATTTGCCAAAAAAAAGGGGGAGGGAGTGGACTAGCTGAGTCCCCTCTGACTCTGCTCCTGGCTTTCCTCCAAGACAAAGCAATTCATTCCCAACGTACCAATTGATTTGAATAAATTATTGACAAGTGTTCGGTCGTAGGGTTTTCCATTCCAAGAAAATAAACAAGAACAGACAAATGAAACTTTAAGCACAAACTTTATTGGCACGCGCAGCATGCACGCACTATAAAAAAATTAAATTAAAAAAATTGCTCCACATCTCAACTTTAGGCAAGCTGCTTCTGAGAGTACAATAGTTTATAACTTAAAAAAGTTAACACACTGCTACAAAGCCCACTAGTGCCATGGTGTGAACATTTTCTAAACGTGGAGTAAAAACTACGTTTTTGTGACACGATTACATTTTTTTCATGATCGTTTTTACAAGGTTTTCAAGTTCATTTTACGAGATGCACTTTTTACAGAGCTCTGGAAGTGCCATCCGGCTTGTTGAGATCCTAACTTTTTTTCTCGGGATGAGGACATAATAAAGAAAGATGTCAACATCCTGAGATAATTTATAAAGGGATGACGACATTGTGAAAGTTGGATGACGACGTCCTCAGATAATTTCTCATAGGATGACGGCATCGTAGAAGTTGAATGACGACATCCTCAGATAATCTATCACAGGTTGACGACATCCTAAAGTTGGATCCTGAGATAATCATTTCAGGATGTCATCATCCAGAGACATCCAGAAAGTGTGATGTCCACTTCACTACTTGTAACAGATGGCGAGACATCATGTCATTTTATCAATCTTATTAATATCATGGCAATAGCAAGACAATGCTTTAATAGACAAAACCACCCCAGGACACCTGTACATTTTCAATGTGGTTTGTCAATGCACCCATTCACAAAAAATGTCATTTCACTTTTACGATGCCATCTTCCATGATAAAGTATCTTAGGATGTGGACATCTTACTTCTACGATGTCATCATCCCTGGAAATAGTATTGCAGGATCTCAACAAGTCCGACTGCACTTCCAAATCCCCGTAATTTTTAGTTCCAATTCAGAAAAAAAGTTTTTTCAACGAGACGTGTTTTTTCCTAAGAAGCGTACGGAACTCTGGAAGTGCCATCCGACATGTTGAGATCCTGACACCTTTGTCTTGGGATGACGACATATTAAACGCAGATGTCGACATCCTGAGATAATTTATCGCAAGCTGATAATATCATAAAAGTTGGATGATGACAATCTCAGATGATTTGTCATGGGATGACGGCATCGTAAAAGTTGGACGACATCCTTAGATAATTTATCATAGGATGATGACATCGTAAAACTTGGATGATGACATCCAGAGACAATTAATGATGATAACCATTAGCTCAGGATGTCATTATCCAGAGACATCCACCAAGTGTGATGTCTACTTCACAAGTGGTAACAGGCGGTGAGATATCAAGACGTTTTTATCAATCTAATAATCATGTACGGCAACAGGAGGACAATGCTTTAAAAAACACTAGCACCCCAGGCCCCGTTTTCAAGGGGGTTTGTCAAGGCACCCGTTCACATAATGTCATCATACCACTTTTATGATGCGTCAACCCATGATAAATTATCGTAGGATGTTGTCATTTCCATTACAGGATGTCTTCATCCTGCGATAAAACATCTCATGGTGTTAACATATTGTCCGTAATTTGTCATCATCCTGAGACAAAATATGTCAGGCTGTTGACAAGTAGGATGGCACTTCCAGAGCTCTGTAGAAGCACATCGCTGCCAACCCAAACAAAATTAAGTTGATTCAACAACTCATTTCATTTAAATAATTTGCTACCTGGTTCAAATGAAATTATATGTCGTTGAAATGACTTAATTTGTTGACATTGGCAGCGATATGTTCCTGTAGGAAACTGTATCTCATAAAACCCCTTATTTTTTCAGAAGAAACTGAAATAATGTTTCTGAAAATAAATCTCACACAAACTAATTTGAAAAAACACATCTTGTAAGAGTGAACTTTTGAAAAATCTATCTCGTAAAAACATACTTTTGAGAAACTATATCTAGTTAAAAAAGAAATTGGAAAAAAATACCTTATCAAAACAAACAAACAAAAA